ATTAGTTCAGACGGGCTTCTAATGTTGATGACGTGTGCATCTGCAAAACACACATATGCATAAGAAATACTCAGATTTGGGAAGTTCATACATGCAGTGCTCTTGTGTTTCTATAGAGCTCCTTTCATTTGTCTCTCAGTGGGACGTGTTGGTCTCCAGCTGATGAATGTGAGTGGAAAGGTCAGTGTAAACTCTCTGATACGCTTTTAATGAAAAATCCAACAATCCTCCACTGATTCTGGACACGCCAACACAAAAAACATTATTAAAACCACGCTTGCCTAATTAATCAGTTACAATGTGAACCATAACTCTTCAGCTAACCTCTATACACAAATATCGACTAATACGTAATTAATTTGTACTTCTAAATATATATATATATATATTCTTTTTGTTTTTTTACTTAATAAACCTTAACTGAAATACAATATAAAAAAACAAACATTTTATTTCAGTTAGTAGTGAAACGTTTCTCATTTTCATTTTGTTTTACTTGATGTAGGCCTACTAAAATAACTAATAAAGTCAAGTCGTTAATAAACTTAACAATGAAAATATTAAATATTAAATTAACATCTAACTAAAAATATTAATAAAAACTATAATAGTATCTAAATGGCACTAAAATAATAACCCTGAGCTAAAACCATAAAACACATTTTCATTCATTTAAATAAATAAACATTAAAATAAAAAATAAAAAAAACATATTTTATAACTTATACTTATTTCATTTCATCTGCCAAGTCAACATTTCTCATTTTAGCTTACTTTAAGGTCATAACTAAACCTTAAAAGAACATAGACATTATTTTTTTTAAGAATGACATAAACATAACAAAATTGTTAAAAAAAATGAAAACAAAAAATATAATAATTTAATAAATAAAAAAATATAAATAAAAAATATAATATAATAAATAAATATAATAAAATCTGATTAAACATTTTGTCAAAACTTCTCATAACAATGCTATATTAATAGCTGGCCAAAATCTTTATCCAATGATGAAGATATATTGAATATTAATTCCAGTTAACTAGACGTGTTTCCTGGATTGGTGCTCCAATTATTTGGTGGTAAAACATCTTGACCAATGAAAAAACATGCAGTTGACTAAAATCTGACAAAGCCACTGAGTTTTCCCGTCATGAACTGTAAATATCCTCAACACCCGCCTCATCCCTCTCGTCTCTAAAGAAACTTCATGCAAAGGTCACAGAGGACGAGGAATGAACTGTCTGACATCAAAGCTCTTAAAACACCACTCTGGGTTATTAACGTAAGACCCGACCTGAAGTCTGACAGATTAACTCAAAGAACATTGTTATTAAAAACTAGAACTCCATGAACAAATTAGTTGGAAAATGTGTAACCTGAAGAAAAAATTATGACATTGATATTTTCTTTTTCCGACAAAAAAACCCCATGACTTTACAAATCTGCTGTCAGCAAGATTAATTTAATTATTATTTTTCTTCTCATTCTTGAATTTCAATTAAATGTATTTTTGTAGCATCGTGCATATTGTTCCAAAGCAGCTTTATGAATTACAGTCTCACAAACCCGTCAGCAATCAAACCGAAGATGAATGAGGCATAGAGAAATCAACCTTGAGATGTTGACGAGGGAAAAAACCTTGAGAACAAGCAACATTCAGCTTTTGTTCAGATCCTCCTCGGGTCCAACAAAAGACGCAGGAAAAATATGAATGTGTATAATACGCATTTCTTCATTCACAAATCGGACGCAAGACCCACACAGTATCTCAGAGCACCATCATCAAAACCTCTTCTCTAAAGCTGAAGAGGATTATTTAGAAGATAATGAAGTTCATCAGGAAGTCAAACTGCCTATAAATAGACAGAGTTCAGTGTTGTTGCTCTCGGTGGGCGTCCTGAACAAAACCAGCCTCAATAATCAATGATGAAGAATCCTGAAGAGTCAAACACTTCATGCCAGAAACAAACATCTGATGGTCACAAAACAGCACCTGGAGGCTTCACAGCTAAACAGCAAAATCCCCAGTGTTAAATTAACACTGAGATGGTGAATTAGCCTATATAAACTCTGAGCAGAGTGTTAAATGAACACTGAAGCAGATAATTAAGTGAATAATTGAGTGATGATTGAGTATTATTGAAGACACCTGATGATAACAAGCAGAACCACTGAAGGTGAAGGTGATTTATTCTTATAGCACTTTATATAGCTTGTTTCCAAGCAGGTTCACCTTAATAAACTGGAAACACCGTCAATATCATCAGTAAGCAGCATGAGATAGAGTTATTATTATTCAGCTCAAGTTAGTTCAATATTGATAAGATTCAGTTTTATCACAGAGTCAAAGTTCATTAATTAAAAAACCAGATCACTTCAGCAATGAAGCAGCTCGACAGAAAACGTGTCAGTATTCAGCTCAATTCAATCCAAATGTAGTTTTCATCCGACAGTGTCAGTGAAGTTCATCATCAATCGTGTTACTAAATACTGATTCTCTTTTAAATAAGCTGAGGATTTATCAAGATAAATTTGTGACAAAATCAAAAAAGTTTTAAAGGGAATGAAAGAAAAAAGAGCGAAAGCCCGGACGGACTCAACAATGTGCATTTTTGTAATTAAAGCAATATTTGTGATACATTCAGTGTATTCGGGAGAAGTTGAGTGCCAATGTTTGCTTATTTTCTATGATTTATTAACCAGCATGCAGAGACAGAAATCTGATCAGAGATATGACTGTATGTTTCTGCGAGGCGTTCTCACATCCTCTCGGCTCCTCAAGAGAGTCCAGATTATGGGAACCTAACTGATGAGTGAAAACCCAGATATATCTGCTTCTCGGGAGCTTTAACACACATCAACCCTCAAATCTCAACAGTGGTTTTTGGCGTTCTCATGGTGCACGTAAAAATGCTCAGGATGCCACTGTGCTACATGATGAGCTGTTTATTAAGCGATCTGCGATCTCTCTTTAAGATGGGATAAGATATGAACTGAGTTGCTTTGCATATTAATGCAATGATGGAATCTGCATACATTTAAATTTACTGTAAATCTTTTCATTGTACCGTGCATTTCAAACACATGGCTGTTTGGCAGAGAAGATATTCAATCATGCTGATGTTTTAAAGAGATAAAGAGACTAGTTCAGTGTCTCAATGGTGAGAGGAAGTGAGGTGACACTTAGAAAGTTTTTACAAGATTTGTCAGATGATGTGGCTCCCTCACCTGGCCAAAGAGAGAAAACGCATCTGAATGCAAAACAGAGTGTCAGTATTTTACTTTGATTATCAAAGATTAGTTTTAAGGAATAACATCATTGACTGCAGGGGGACTTAAGGGAAAATTAAAAAAAAAAAACGAAGGGAATTAGGAAGTATCACTGGTAAAATGAAAATGCTCGGCCAGAAACCCGGCTGTGTATGGGTCATATATATATATATATATATATATATATATATATATATATATATATATATATATATATATGTGTGTGTGTGTATATGACCCATTTGATTTGATTTCAAGACGATTTGATTTGTTTTTTTGTCCTAACAATACACATCCGTTCCGTTGCTATAAAAAACATTTCTGATTTCTATTAGAATGATTTCTGAAGGATCATGTGATGAGGACTGGAGTAATGATGGTGAAAAGTCAGATTTTATCACTGAAATAAATTTTATTTTATTGTGTTATTATTTTAAATTGTTATAATACTTCATAATATTACTGTTTTACTGTATTTTGGAGCAAATCAATACAGGTCAATTGGTCAATGCAGCAGAATATACTTGTGAACAGTATACTATGTAAATCCCCCTATTCTTAACATTTCTCATGTAAAGACACGTATGTTATGAGCAATAATCATCAGTTTTATTTAATCAAGAGTGTGTTTGTCTTACCGTGTTGAAGCTCATCTGATCAACAGCACCGAATGACTGACTGTTTTAACACACACACTTTAGCTCTACAGTGAAGGACTTTGTGTGGTTAACACTGTTTATTAACAAACACCCAGCGACGGAAATATCACTGTCCCTCCCTGAACAAGAGAACAACATTACTGAACTAAAACTAACTGAAGAAAACTGATGATCTTTCTCTGTAAGTTGAAGATGAATAATTGTGAAGATGAACGATAGTGATTTCCAGGTGAGGATCATCAAGGTGGATGTCAGTTGTAGGAGATGGTGACCTCTGGTGGCAGTTTGAGGGACTGAACGAGCACATATGAGACGAGATGTGTCTGACTGCAGAACTATATACGGGACAGCAGCTTCAGATCGAACAGAGCTGACGATCAACTAAAGCCTGCTTTATACCAGAGATGGTCTTATTATTGGGAGAGACCAGGATCTGTGGAATCACTGAAGAAGAAAACTCAAATTTTAGTCACCATTATGGAGATCAGTGTTTGCTTTAGTTGGGCAGTTGACCTTTACATAGTTAACTTTAGATTTTGTTTGTCTACTGTACATGAGTTATGACAGCCAGATGAACAAAGAGAAAAGGTGATCTGATGGTGTTGGCTATGTTATAACATAATCATTATTTCACAACCATATGACCTGAAACACTTAACTCAAATAGCACTGATCTCTGATTAGAATGTACATTGGTCATTAGAGAATCAAAGTGATTCAACCATATAAATTCCAGGTTGTTCAATATAATGTAAATTATTTCTTAAAAGTTGTTCTGATAAAATAAAATTAAAAAATATTTTTTTTTTCAGGCACACACAGACATGTAGATTCAGTGTGTGAATCTCAACAATGGTGACAAAAATAATATTCCGATTAGGAAAATGAGATTTCTAAGACAATTCAGATCATAATTTATTCATACTGATCTTCAGAATGTACACAAACACAGAAGTATCATACAGAGAGTTTTTTTTTTTAAATTTTGTCTTCGAGTCTTTAAACAAGAAGTGGTTTCATATCACAACATTTAACAAGAATAGAATTTGCAGCATTTCAAAAACACAACTCATTCTGAAGATCACAATCATAAAGATAAAGCAATGGATGTTATTTCTCAAAAATCCATTTTCTCATTGCGGAGCATGGGATGTCATTCCAGTTGTTCAGGACAAGTTTTGCTGGATTCAGTTCAATACAATCCTCATTTCCATTCGCGTTATTCGGTTCATTACTTTCCCAAAACCTGAATGAAATCCAATCAAATTCAGTTTCTGAGCTCTTAATGCATGTACTCACTCATTCTATACAAATAAATATGCTTCTAAAAACTAATGCAAAAATAAACAGTGATTGTCTGAGCGTTTCATCACTTACCCTTGATTCAGTGTTGAATTATCCACCCATTTCATGAACCCCTCAGTCTCAATGTCAGACAAACCAATCCACACACTCTCCTTGAATGAAGATATGAACCTCTGTGTGTGAATAAAAACATTAAACAGTGAGAATCATCATTACATTTAAGATCTTTATTAAGATAAAGACAATTACCAGCATTAAAATAAATGTTCAACAGCAAGAATAAATAAAACATGAGAGACGTATTGTAGCATTTATTTTCCGAGCCGCGTCAAAACATAAAACATACTGTTGTTTCTTTGTACGTATGACAAAATATATTTAAGTATGTACATTTACAATGGAATTACCGTAAACTAGATATATTTGCCTCTAATCTCACCTGCTTCTCTACAGTGTTGACAATGACCAGATCAGCTCCTCGATCTCTGCAGTACTGTCTGCTCTCAGACCAGCTCTTCAACTCACTGGACATGAAAAACCAGCCATTTCCTTTCAATAAACATAAACAATTGTATATATTAATTATGTTGTAAAGTGCAAATATACATATGAATCCATTTGTACTGACCTTGTTCTTTCAACTTCCTAAGTTCAGTCTCTAACTCCAGTTTCTTCTGATTCAAAGCATCAAAACTTCCCTTTAATTGACTTTTCTCAGCAGTGAGATCATTGACTCTGGTCTCTAACTCCAGTTTCTTCTGATTTAAAGCATCAAAACTTCCCTTTAATTGACTTTTCTCAGCAGTGAGATCATTGACTCTGGTCTCTAACTCCAGTTTCTTCTGATTCAAAGCATCAAAACTTCCCTTTAATTGACTTTTCTCAGCAGTGAGATCATTGACTCTGGTCTCTAACTCCAGTTTCTTCTGATTTAAAGCATCAAAACTTCCCTTTAATTGACTTTTCTCAGCAGTGAGATCATTGACTCTGGTCTCTAACTCCAGTTTCTTCTGATTCAAAGCATCAAAACTTCCCTTTAATTGACTTTTCTCAGCAGTGAGATCATTGACTCTGGTCTCTAACTCCAGTTTCTTCTGATTCAAAGCATCAAAACTTCCCTTTAATTGACTTTTCTCAGCAGTGAGATCATTGACTCTGGTCTCTAACTCCAGTTTCTTCTGATTCAAAGCATCAAAACTTCCCTTTAATTGACTTTTCTCAGCAGTGAGATCATTGACTCTGGTCTCTAACTCCAGTTTCGTCTGACTCAAAGAGTTGAAGTTGTTCTTCAGTTGGTCTTTTTCAGTCATTAGATCAGTGTAATTGTCCTGTAAGCTGTTGATAGTGTGATTGAACTCTTCAACGGTGTTCTTTAACAGGTCTCTCTCTGCTGTGATGATGATGTACAGTGTGATGAAGACCAGCAGAAGAACACAAATGAGCCCGAAACACACTGTCATCAACACCAAACACCTGCTTCCTTCTGACAAACAGAGACAAAACACACCGATATCAGTTAACCACAATTCACGCCATATAGAAATACGTTTCAAATCAAACCTTTTAGGACCCTTGTCTTTAGATAATGCAGATAGAGGTTTATTTTAAAAGACAAACATTGCTACACAGTAAAATATCCAAATAAGAACATAGTGAAATTTTTTTTTAATAATAATTCCCTGTTAATAAATTAAATATTAAAGCATAACCACTTTCAAATGTTTTTTTTTTTCCCAAGAAAAATATGCCATTGTACGTGTCAGCATAAACAACACCATTTTTGACACCAAGTAATTTTCTGCTTACTGTGCTTTTCATCTTTTCCTTCATCCTGGCCCTTACTCTGTGTTGGAGGTCCAAATGTGTCCTCAATATCTCTGCGTTCAACATTTTGATAAATGTCCTCTGCATCCATTATTCACGTGTCGGACAGTACGTCTTCACAGATGAGGTGTGGTCCTCAGGATGATGACTACTGCTTTTGCAATAGTGCTCACCATAAAGAGGAAATGGTTATACTTCACACTGCACAGTAGGGCTGGGCGATATATCGCACAATATTGTTATGCGCATCTAATCAGTAAAGCCGATTTCCTCATTAGCAGTAAATCACCTTCACATGCTATCAGATGGACGATATGATGCAGATATGAGTGTTAAATTAACACTCAAGAGTGTTAAAGTTAATTAGATAATTAAGTGATTAATTTAGTGATGATTGAGCATTATTGAAGACACTTGATAATAACAAGCAGAATCGCTGAAGGAGAAAATCTAAAATTGTAAGCCACCATTATGGAGATCAGTGTCTGCTTTAGTTGGGCTCTTGACCCTTATATTATTAACTTTAGATTTTGTTTGGCTGTTGTTTCTTTATAGTTATAATTGCCAGAATAACAAATAAAACAAGTGATCAAATGGTGTTAGTTATATCATGAGAATCATCATTTGAACTTTATGTTTGTGATTTTTGCTGTTGGTTACAGTATAACTGTGATTATGCATAAATATCCATATAATATAAAAAGTTTTTTTTTTAAATCTCTCTTTTAGGCACACACAGACCTCAAGATTCAGTCAATGCATCTCAACAATGGTGACAAGCAGAATATTCAATTAGGAAAAGTAAATTACATAGACATTTCGGATCAAAATTTATTCATACCGCAATGCATGATGGGAGACATTAATGAGTTGTGAATGGTGGCAACAAGGATTATTAATGTCACCATTGTTGAGACACACAGGCTGATTATTGATGTCTGTGTTTCTAAATCAATTAATTTGTAAGTGATTTGACCAGAACATTGTTTTATTAAATGTTTTGGATAAGAAAAATACAGATTATCATATGCAGTAGAACCACTAACAAGTTAAACCAAATCATCTGAATAAGTTTAATTTTTCAGATCACATCATGATTATGTCAAAACATAACCAACACTATCAAATCACACTTTTTTCTGTCTTTTATAGACAGGTCATCAGTTATATAATGCCCTAAGTAACTCTCTCTCTCTCTCTCTCTCTCTCTCTCTCTCTCTCTCTCTCTCTCTCTCTCTCTCTCTCTCTCTCTAGAGAGAGACTCCTGATGTCTTTTCCTGTTATTCAACAGAAATCCTGCACAGCTCTGTTTTACTTTCAGTTTCACAAAAAAACAACAACAAAAAAAACAGAAGGAACACACACATGGATAAGGTAACACAGCTAATATCAAAGTAGTATTGTTTAAATAGTTCTCAGTGGATTTTATTATTTGTGCAGTAAATCTTCACTCATTTGTAGAAGCGGCTGATGATGTCACTGAATTATGTTTAGGGGGTTATGGTGTTGAATTGTTCTCGCCGCGAATTGTTCCAGATTTTCCAGGTCGACGCCTCTGCTTTTCTTGGCTTGTGCCTTTATTACATTATTTAGTTGTTGTTTTTTCTTTGCTTTGTCAGTTTTTAGATTAAGTTTGTTACAACATTTAGGCATTACATAAAAATGGTTGAACAAGTTCTCAAAATATGCAGTTTTCCCTGAGGAGGAGATTGTCATATGTACACTAATTTATATTGACATTTATATATTGACATTTATTTTTATTAAAGAGGAATAGCCCCTTGAGATGAGCCATCTCGTTTTCGAGGGGGTCCTCGTTTCTAGATAAAAAAAATGACCTGCAATTTACAATAATCATCATCAAAACATGAACTAAGGATTTTGAGCAAGAGACTGGCTTAATACATGGTGTTTTGCTATTTGTACGGATTGTTTTGAGAAATGCACTTTCTGTTTTGCAAATGTTGAGGATGATTCGAGAAATGTACCAAAGCGACTGTAAATTCAAAACAACTGTAATGTGGAGAGACGTTTACATCATAGTCATTGCAGGTATGTATCTGATTGTTTATTGGTTGTTGCAGGTGATGACAGTCATAATGGCTCTTCCTCTGATATTTCTGATCATGATTCACGGTAAGTGACTGATGTTACAGCAACACATCGCTTTTATATTCACTGATCCATACATACACTGATACACTATTAGCTCACTGTGATCTCACATTGTGATCACTGAGATCAACGTGTTGACTGGGCATATAATATATAAAACATTAATATATTTTTGTTCAGTAAGGATGTACAGCATCCCTCGTGGCAAATATCATGTTTGCTCTTCTTCATCATCACCCTCCGCTCATCTTCTTACTTTAGTCGGTAGACTTATTGCAGTAATTGTAGAAGCGACTGCTAATGTCTTTATCATGAATCTGTTTCAGGGGGTCAGAGTGATGAAATACTGATTCTAACACTATAAGGGTAATACTTCAACTGTACATCAGCTCTGACCACTGGAGAATTCATATTGAGTTCTGAATGCACTTCATTTTATGTTCATTTCACTTTCATTTTAGTATTTTGGGTTTATATATATATAAGCGCCTTTTCCACAAAATCAGGGTGACTGATAAAACAACATGGATGACTTCTGTGTTTCAGGGGTTTCTAGTGTTGATTGGGGTGTGAGTTACAGTCCTCCACACATCTGTGCACTAAAGGACTCAACAGTGATAATGAGATGCACTTATACATACCCTACTGGATATAAGATCAAGAAAGCGTTCTGGACCAAAACACTGGTAATGGATAATGAAGAGTATCCAGATCTGTCTAATGACCCTGAATACAGTCAGAGGCTTCAGTATCTGGGAGATAAACAGCAGGACTGCACCGTCAGACTGAGTCATGTGACACTGAACGATTCACACATGTACTATTTCAGATTCATCACTGATAAAGACAAATGGACTGGTTATCCAGGAGTGAATCTTACTGTCACAGGTGACTTTGATGAGGTTTATCTCTTCTTCTGTGCATTATGTTGAATAATAATCAGTGTGTGACAGCAGCACTAGATATAATGTGTGTGTTGTGTTCAGATCTTCAGGTGGAGTCTCCTGAGAGAGTGACAGAGGGAGATTCAGTCAGTCTGACATGTAAAAGCAGCTGCGCTCTGACTGACAGAGCAACATTCATCTGGTACAGAAACTCACTGAAGATATTAACTGAGAGTAAATTCAGGAACACACTCATCCTCAATCCAGTCAGAAGAGAGGATTCAGGCAGATATAGCTGTGCTGTAGACGGACACACACACGTCTCTCCTGATGTTCACCTCAATGTCATGTGTGAGTGCAGATTCACTTATTATTTAAAAAAAAAAAATTGGAGATTGAGTTTGAATGAGATGATTTGAGGTTTTCATTTTTGTCCTTTTTAGACCCACCGAAGAACGTCTCAGTGTCCATCAGTCCATCTGGTGTAATAGTGGAGGGAGATTCAGTGACTCTGAAGTGCATCAGTAACACAAACCCTCCTGCTGTGAACTTCAGCTGGTTTAAAGGAGGAACGTTTGTAGGATCTGGAAAAATCTTCAGCATCTCAAAGATCAGATCTGATGACAGTGGAGAATACAAGTGCAAGTCCTTCAATGGACATGGAGAGAAATACTCTGATACTGTGACTTTAAACATCATGTGTGAGTTGTTGATGGTTCAGTAACTGTAGTAACAAACAAATGAGTGGCTTAACAATCGCAAAACATGAATATAGAGTTTATTTTGTCTGTTTTAGATCCTCCCAGGAACGTCTCAGTGTCCATCATTCAGTCTGGTCAGATCTGGGCAGGAGATTCAGTGACTCTGAAGTGCACCAGTGACTCAAACCCTCCTGCTGTGAACTTCAGCTGGTTTAAGGAGAATGAAAGCTCAGCTGTTGGATCTGGACAGAGTTTCAGTGCACTACAGAGTGGACGCTTCTACTGTCAGGCTCACAATCAACATGGATCTCAGAGATCAGACGCTGTAACTGTCACAGGTGAAGCTTTGTAAGAGCAAACCCACATGACTTTCTTCAGTCTGGACTGTTAATCCGAGCTGATAAAGTTTCCATCTTTCAGTGCATCACAGATCCGGATGGCATCAAGTTTTTGGGATCACAGTGGAATGTGGAGCAATATTCATCATCGTCGTCATAATTTTCATCGTCATCCTGTTTATAATGTGAGAACCATAAACAACTTTGATAATATTAATATAGCCGTCCATGTGCTGTTAATTTCTGTCATTTTTTCTTTCAGAAAGAAACGAAGGAGTGTTAAAAATGAAAATATCACAGTGAAAGAGGTAAATCATCCAAAGACGACGTTACTTTAAAAAAAAAAAGCAGAAAATCAATCGATCATCTCAAACGAGTCGATTAAAATAAATAAAAAATAAATAAATATTGTGCTATAAATTTAGCTTATATAGACTTCTCTATATTCTGATGTAAATCCTTCTGTCTCTCCAATAGATCTCTGAACCCAATGAAGACAAATATACAGCTCTTGTATTAAGAACCAATCCTGAGCTCTGTGGGCGGAGGCACATATGATTGACAGGGACTGATCCTCATTTGTTCCCTTTAACCCTTTGTGAGCTATTGTGTGCTATAGACTTATGTAATGTATGTTTAATTGTGTAATCTTACATATATAATACTCTTTTTCAGTATTTTAGGCTCAAGCTTAGAAAGCAAAAATATACTTATCAGTATTTGAATGAATATGTTTTTAAGTATTTTCATGTTTTGCCCGCACAACATGTTGAATATTTACGATTCGCGATCGGCGTCCGAGTCGATCCGGTCATATTTAACACACCCCACACCACGAGAAAATCTGATAATCTGTCATCAAGATAATCGGGACTTGAGGATCTTCAGAAGGAGAAAAATCGGCCAGAATATTTAGAGGACATTAAAGGGCACCAATCATGGAAATTTGAAAATTATCTCTCATGTAGTGTGTAACATAGGTCTTAGTGAACAAAAACATCCTGCAAAGTTTTATATATGAATGTTTAATGTAAAAAAAAAAAAAAAATGTTATTATCTCTCAAATGTATTGGCAATGAGACAGTCCCTTTGGGACTGAACCAGGTGATGTTAATTTGCACGGACAGGGCTGCTTTTTAATTACTGATAGTGTTCAGCTGTTGTCTTGGCTTTCCATGCCTTTTTTGCACCTCCCGTTCTTCAGGTGTTCAATACTTTTTCCCTGTGTCATTTCACATTATTCCACATTACTTAATTTCTGAACTTTGTTTTGGTTGCTTTGGGTTGTTTTTACCAACATCTGGTAAAAATGTAATGTCAATAGCACCTTTGGAAATATATTTTCTGAGAAAATGGTGGTGTGTTCAATACTTATTTCAGACGCGGTATAATAAACAGATACAAAAGAATGAAATATAAAATAAAAACAAAAATACAGTTTACTATAATAATAATAATGGTTATTAACCATTTTATTCAGAGTGAAACCAACTCAAAAGCAGTTTTTACAGACACTCAATATCACAATAATAGTCATGAGGTTTAGTGTCTCAGATCACCCTCATTCACAGCGTGAAAAACATGATGTTCTGAGTTTAATTTAGCAATGAGAAAATAATGACAATTAAACATTTCCCTTCTAAAATAAATTTATATATCTGATGGCAGTTTTTTTAAATACAGAAACCGCAATCAGAAATTATACATTCGCAATAAGAATGATTCATAGACTATCAATCATAGAAAAAGCACAACAAGACTGAAACTTATTTCTCACAAATACATCTCAAATTCGCATAGCATGGCGCATCATTCCAGTTGTTCACAGGGTCTCTTCCAGGATGCAGTTCAATACAGTCCTCATCTCCACCAAAGTTATTCGGCTCACCTCGGTACCAAAACCTTAATAAAGTGTGTCTGATTTTCAGTTATTCAGGACCACAGATCAGTTCAACGAAAGTTTTTATGCATTCAGAAAACAACAAGCTATTCATCATAAAAGAGCCGACAATATTCACAGCATCACCAGGGAACAATCTCGGCTAACGTACTGGCAAAGTTATGAACAATCATTCTTCCAGTAATATGTTTGTTCAACGTTATCTGTTATTTAGTAATGTTCTCAAAAGGTTAGCACAAAAAACAATGTGTTTGTTTGTATATTTTTTTAAATGTTTTAAATGGGAGAAAATATTTTTAAAACATTATTTTTGGAACATCCTTTAAACATTAGAATGACGACAAACTTCAGACGAATAAGGTTGTGTTGCTCTTTTAAAATAACATCCTTTTGTTGGCTGTCCCATTATTCATGTGTTTCTCTTAAATGTAATATTTGTGCAAGTGTGAGAGTCAAACACTTTCAAAACGATGTTCATGTTATCACAACATACTGTCATTAGTTTTTGATGAATGTTCTGATAATGTTGGCAGAAAACATTATTCAAACAACATTCTTTGGATGTGCTTTACATATTTTCTAAAGGCAGCCGCTGTAAAATCCCCTGTGTTTCATTAACAGTTTGACCGATTCTACAGAGTTAATGTTTAAATTCACTAAAGGAAAGAGGAACACAGAGTTGAAGTCACCATTGTGCTGATCAGTGTTTCCTGTAGTTGGGTTCTTGAACATTAATATAGCTGTGTTTAATTTGTAATGTATTAGTTTTTTATTCTGGCAGTAGAATCAGCCTGTAGAGACACTCAATTACTGTGTCGATAAAAACATGAGATGAAATATCTTCAGATGAAGATGCCTTCAACCCTCCTGTTACCCTCAAACCTGATAACACTTTTTACCCTCTGGGGTCAATTTGACCCCAGCAATTTGAACCTCCACAATATGTTTTTTTTTTTTTTTTACAAAGGTTTGTCTCAGTTAATTTATGTCTTTGTTAACTACTGAAGTAACATTTTATGTTGACATCCACCCACCACCCCCCACCTAACCTCTTATACATCCAGAATACCCATTGCACGACTATGGACAAATTTACAAATCAACATAAAATCTTCCTGATTTGACCTAAAATTGGAAAAGTATAAATATATCTGGTGTTTTTTGTTTTATAATATTTCTAAGTATAGATTTTTGTAATCTATAATATTTGGAAAGAAAAACTATTTATTTTATCAAGGATAGTAACACGAATTATGTTTGGGGTCAATCTCACAAAAATAATGTTTTCTCGTCCCCCATGGCACGGGAAACATCAAAGTTCTCACAAAAATGATGTTTTCCCCTCCCAAATGCACGGGAAAGAATTATTAGTTATCTTCAGAATTATGTCACATGTCATGTGAACTACTAGTAGTTCTCGCAATATATGGTTATGTTTGGTTGGAGTCCTATAACAGAGGGACATTTTTTTGAAAATGATATTGAATATGTAAAATTACAATGAACATTATAAATTCCAATTATAACAAGTTATAATGACCTCAATATAACAACCAAAACAAATGTGTGTGAAATTTTAATATTTTTTCTGTTTTATTATACATCTAAAAGAGCCTGGGGTCAAATTGATCCCAAGGAACACCGATGTTACAAAATTTGTACAGGACTTTGAAAAAATATTAGCAGGTTAATTTTATGTTTACAGAGTTGTCCCCATTAAATTAGGAAAAGTCATTAAATTTGACGCAAAATAAAAAATAAAATTGTGTTTTTACAGATGTTAAATATTGAATGGGGTCAGATTGACCCCAAGGATAATAGGAGGGTTAATGTTATGGTGAAAATCAGGAAATGGACTGATTCTTTATTAATGCAGAAATACCTTCAAATGCTGAAAGAAACAAAGAATGGTAAATGGTAAACCCCTGTTTCCTCTGCTGAGATCTTCAGATTTAATGTATATTTTTAATGAGAATTGAAAGGATTAAACAAATGCATCGAAGTGTTTCTCTGTGAGTGTTTTATCACTTACCCTTGATTCAGATGTGAATTATCCACCCATTTCATGATCCCCTCAGTCTCAGAGTCTGACAAACCAATCCACGCACTGAACCACACATCCTTGAATAATGAAGTTATGAAGCTCTGTGTGTGAATAAAAACAGGAATAAGTGTGATTCAGTAACACGTTTTTAGTCATTAAAATATTAACACAACAGTACATATTTGACCATTATTTTTTTTGACATTATAGGGGAAGCTGAGGTTCCCTGTCTTAAATTAATGCCCATAAGTGTGATTCCTCTCATTAATAAACAGTCACTCACACAATCTCACCTGCTTCTCTTCAGTGTTGATAATGACCAGATCAGCTCCTCGATCTCTGCAGTACTGTCTGCTCTCAGACCAGCTCATCCTCTCACTGCATATGAAAAACCTGTCCTTTGCTTTCAATAAACACAAACACTTTGGTCAGTATTTGTGGTGTAAAGTGCAAATAAACATATACATACATGTGTACAAACCTTGTGTAGATAAGTTCCTTAGTTCAACCTCTAACTCCAGTTTCGTCTGATTCAAAGACTCAAAACATCCCTGTAATTGACTTTTCTCAGCAGTGAGATCATTGACTCTGGTCTCCAGCTCCAGTTTCGTCTGACTCAAAGCATCAAAACTTTTCTGTAATTGACTTTTCTCAGCAGTGAGATCATTGACTCTGGTCTCCAGTTCCAGTTTCGTCTGACTCAAAGAGTTGAAGTTGTTCTTCAGTTGGTCTTTTTCAGTCATTAGATCAGTGTTCTTGTCCTGTAATCTGTTGATAGTGTGATTGAACTCTTCAACTGTGTTCTTGTAACTCTTTAACAGGTCTCTGTCTGCTGTGATGATGATGAACAGTGTGATGAAGACCAACAGAACAACACAAATGATCCCGAGACACACTGTCATCAACACCAAACAGCTTCCTCCTGAAAAACAGAGACAAAACACACACAGATATCAGTAAATAATAGTTCACTCTATAGTAAAAGATATAACCGGAATCAAGATTCGAAAGAGTTTTCTTCTGAATGCTCTTTTATAAATGACAATCATAAGAAATTAATATATGGTAAAATATGAAAAGAAATCTGTTTTAATTCATTTGATGCAAACATTGACGTATTGTACTTGGAGAACAATCATTGAAATCATTTTCTCAATTCCTCAAACATTATCACCACCATCACTTCTTCAGAATAAACTTTGTACTTACTGCACTTTTGAGCTTTTCCTTCATCCTGGTGGTTATTTGGTGTTTGAGGTCCAGTTGTATCCTCAGCATCTCTTTGAAAATTGACATAGAGGTCTGATTCCATTATGTGCACTTTCCTACAGTTACAGTGCAGTGTGTGTTCACAGATGAGCTTTGGTCTCTAGAATGAGTGTCGTTCGTTGAACAGTAGTGACCTGAACCATTTATGCGGAAACCATGCAAAATGAGGTCTTAACCTGTTAAGCTTCAACCACACTTTTGAAAAATCCCCAGAAATGACAAAACAGATACAGTTCATGAACCTGTCGCACTAAAAGCACAAGTACACTCTTAGAAAAAAGGGTTCTAGATATGTAGCATAGGGTTTTTTACTCAACTCCAAAGGACATTTTATGTTAAAAAAGGTTCAATAATGACAAGAAAGAACACTTTTGGCACAAAGGTTATTTAAAGGCTATTATTCATTCATATATTACATTATTCCGCAACATTTTGTAGTTGTAATTAAATTATTGTTTATTAAACTGTTTAAACCCACTTTAATCATGCAGATTTTTGGAGGATAAAAACTGAAATGGCACTCTTCGTGTGATATTGATTAATTACATTTTTTAACCCCCATATCTTGAATTTTGTGATCATTCACACTCATTGCATTTTAGGGGTATAGAACCTTATAGAACCTATATAGAACCTTTTCTTCTCAGAGTGTATGATCTCTTTTGAAAGCTTACACCTGGTAGTTTATTGTAAATGTAGAATTAATTATTGTCATAATGACACATTTTTTTTAAATGGCTTCAAAGTTTTGTAAAGTTATTAGAAATTTATTTTTATGAAACATCTTCATGAAAATAAAATTGAAGCTGGCCCTGTAGCAGTCTAAAAATGCACTCCAGCCAAAGCCATATGCGTGACCATTTTATATTTCATTGAATATCTCATTCACTTTAACACACTTGAGTGTTAATTTAACACTTATATCGTCCATCTGAAAGCAGGTGAAGGTGATTTACTACTAATCAAGGAACTGGCTTTACTGATTAGATGCGCATAACAATATCGTGCGATATATCGCCCAGCCCTATCAGTAAACGAAATATGAGGAATAGTTAGCAAAACAAGTAGTCTATTAAAAACAAAGTCAAAAAAATTGCTTGCGGTTCATTCTTTTTCAGTTTCAAAGATATTTTATAAGGTTTCAATTTATATTTTCATTAGTTTCTTGAAAAGTTACATTAATTTTTATTGGCACAAAAATAATTCCATACTGACGCCCCAGTAATACACAATATATGCATCTCATTCACTCATACTTTTAAAGAATTTCTGCTTTGAATTCATGTTTTATTTAGTTTATTTTGAGATTATGGTTGGAAATATGTGCAGATTACATTTTCTTTAGGAACTGAATGATGTTTCATTGGTGCCGTAATCCGTCCCAACTGCTTCATCTGCAGGACTCCATTCACTCTTCAGTTTCATTTTCACTGAAAAACAACAGATTCAATATTAAACGTTTGTTATGCCTCAAACACACACACACACACACACACACACACGCCTGTATACCTTTGTGGGGACTCTCCATAGGTAATAGTTTTTGTACCGTACAAACTCTAATCCCCAGAGTTAAAATAACACTTAAAAGTGTGAATTATATAAACTCTGAGCAGAGTGTTAAATGAACATTAAAGCAGTGTTAAAGTTAATGAGATAATTCAGTGAATAATTAAGTGATGATTGAGCATTATTGAAGACACCTGATGTTAACAAGCAGAATCTCTGAAGGAGAAAAAAATGAATTTTTAAGTCACCATTGTGGAGATCAGTGTTTGCTTTAGTTGGGCTCTTGACCCTTAAATTATTGACTTTAGATTTTGTTTGGCTGCTGTATGTGAGTTATAGCAGCCAGATGAATAAATAGAAAAGGTGATCTGATGGTGTTGGTTGTGTTTGAACATAATCAGTATTTCACAATCATTTGACCTGAATCACTGAATTCATATCGAGCCTAATTTCTGAATTAGGTTTTCTTTAATAATTATAGCAGCAGTGACCTTGTAGCATAAAATTTTTAACGTTAACGGTGTATTGAAAAATAATTTCAAAAAATTTTCACTTACACAAATTTTTACTTTTCTTTAAATTCTTTTTAAGATACACAGATATCAATAATTAGCCTGTGAATCTCAACAATGGTGACAATTATAAAGCATGTTGCAGTGCATTCTGGGTGCCACCAATCAAAACTCATTCATGGCTAACATCATGCATTGCTGCATGAATAAATAATGAGCTCCTGTTCATACTGTCAGAAAAAAAAGGTACAAAAGCTGTCACTGGGGCGGTACCTTTTCAAAAAGGTACACTTTTGTACCTAAAGGGTACATATTGGTACCATAATTGTACAAATATGTACCATGAAGGTACCAATATGCACCCTTTAGGTACAAAAGTGTAACATGAAGGTACCAATATGCACCCTTTAGGTACAAAAGTGTAACATGAAGGTACCAATATGCACCCTTTAGGTACAAAAGTGTAACATGAAGGTACCAATATGCACCCTTTAGGTACAAAAGTGTACCTTTTGAAAAGGTACCGCCCCCGGTGACAGCTTTTGTACCTTTTTTTCTGAGAGAGTAGGTGATCTGTTTGTCACCATTGCTGAGATTAATACGCTAATTCAATTTTTTTATTTATTTTATTGGATCATATGGATTTCATTGAAAAGGCTTAAAATGGTATGTTCTAAAATGACTGTGCTGCTAAAATTCTTAAGGTAAATTTAACTCAGAATTTATGCTCTTGATGAGTTCAGCGATTCAGGTCAATTAATGATTATGTTAAAAACACAACCAACACCATCAGATCGCCTATAAATCAACAGGAACATCCAAGGAACTCTCTTTAGAAAAGTTGAAAAGCCTTTATTTCTATAGATACAGTCGGTTGGTCTGGGAACGCCCCCGGGAACGCCCCGTCACGTGGTGTGAATTTAGCCCGTGGGGGAAATCATTGCCTTGGCGCTCATTGAAATACATGGGACAATCATGCCGAAGGGTTGCGGTGTCGTTTTCTGTACCACCAATAAACTAACAAATTACAAATTGAAGTTCTACAGCCTTTCTTACATACATGCAGAACCGGATAGGAGGACAAAATGGCAAAATTAATCATATCTTATTAGATTACTGTGTGAGTAGAGGTCCCTGTGTGATATAGTAGTAGATGTTTAACTCGTATTAGGCAGTGGGCCAGATTTGTCTGACGTTACGTCCCTTACGAAAAAGAACTATAGTAATCCTATGGCTATTAGTATTCTATAGTAGTGTATAATACTTCTGTGATGTTCATTAATACCTATACTTCTAGGCTATGTCCCAAAATACTATAGTATTCCTATAGGATTAACGTTACTATAATAGTTTGTCCTAAAATACTACAAGATTCCTTTAGTTGTTTTTCATAAGGGATGTTATTAGCGTTATCAGCTGAAGGTTATCAGACTGCAGTCTGTGAGAATTCGGATAACTGTCAGCAAAGTCCCTCTGCAACTTCGTAGCGACTACTTTGATCACCGTTTTTACAAAAGGATTAATAGTTTGGAGTGAAGCATACGTACAATTGGTAAGTGACATGGTTTTATGGACTTATAGTAACTTATACGCAAGTTGATTGAGTTACAGGCTTGTGTTGCCGGTAGCTTCCGCGATGTCTTACCTGAAGATTCAACCAGATATAATAGTCTGGAAACGACACCTCCGGCCATTTGGTTGGGTCATTGGCCCAGTTTTTAATTAAATAAGGGCAATCATAACCTATTACAGTTAAATTTGCAATGTATCGTTGCCGGTCGGCAGGCATAAATGACTCGCAATATGACATTTTTGTCATTCAAATACATAGGATGGTCGCGCTGCTTTCCCCCACGCCGACCACGCCCCCCAACTATGACGCGTTGCCGACTGTATCTATGGCTTGGTCATAATCAACACTATAAAAACACTATGACGCGTTTCGGCATAAAACATACTTGTCGGCATACAAGCCATACTCTCAGTGTTAATTTAACACTGGGGATTTTGCTGTAGTAGATGTAGGTCATAGCAGCAAACTGAGATGATCATGCTGAATATCTGACACTCTCAGATATTATATAGACTATCTAGAGTTGTACTACTTGAAATTTGGAATTAAGTCAATTCATGCTGCTGTTGTAATGCTTCTTAAAGGGTTTTTTCTTTTCTTATTTACTGGAAAACAGTGAATATATTTTCTCATTAATATTACTGTAACTGTTAACTATTGCCTGTTAAAGGTGTCAGCTTCACTCATGATTATACGCAGATATTGCTTTCAGTTAGGGCTGCAACTAACGATTATTTTGATAATCGATTAATCAGACGATTATTTTTTCGATTAATCGATTAATCGGATAAAAAATTATATTCCATTTTTTTGTTTATTATAACAAAATAAAACCCTAAAAACCACACTTTTGTGTGTTAAACAATCTACTTAATACAGACAACTTCATTATAAAGAAAAACAACAAATAAAAAAAATATATATGACCATAACCTATGACAAAAATGCTATTGTAAACTAGATTAGTGGATAACTGAGCAAAACTTAGCCTAGAAATATCAGTGCACAATAATTTTATAAAATCTGAACATTTAGTGAAAAAAACATTCCTTAGTGGGGAACAAATAAGAGACGATAAGTGTAGCACTAACACTAACTCTGGTAAAACTTACACATTGCTCTTTGTATTGTTGTTATACTGTACATTCATGAAAAACATCGTAAAAATCAGATGCACAACTGTTTTAAATGTAAAGCACAGCTGTTTAGTAAGGAAGCAAAATATAATAGATAGGACAGAACAAGAAAGGCTATTAATAAGCTTTCATTGCGCAAAAGTATTATGACGTGATCATGAAAGAGCTGCAAAGTGCTTATGCGCATCGCGAGCGCGCAGGGCGGCGCGCAGCTCTTCAGTGTCCGCCGCATTAAAGTTAAAAGCACCAAGGAAAGAGAAAGACATATTGACTGTGTATTATACAGTATCTAAGCAATAGTTTATTAAGCCTTTTCTCTTAACAGTTTTAAATTTCAGTTAGGCTACTGTGCACGTAAAGAACAAATATAGGCCTACTGCGCCGACTCTACTATAGTGTTGTGATCTAACAGACAATCAGTAGAAAGTGATTACGTTACAGCAATAAAAGTCT